TGTTAGAGTGTTCACCTCGTATGTGTGAAGCGCTGGGTTTGATGTCCACCAATCCCCCCCTAAACAAAACAGAAGCAACTAGGCGCTACAAAAACATGTTACTGTGCTGGGTGTACCAGAGAAGTGCCTGCAGAAAAGGTAACTTCAAAGTTGATTCTTGAGAAATAGGTAGAAATCCTTGAGGTTTTAATGCAGTTTAGGTTGAAAGAACAGTGTGTTCAAAGCCAGTAGTGTTTCAGAAAGGATGTGATGTTGAGGGAGTTGCAGGGTGTTTTGTAGCCTTGGTGTACAGGGTGTAAGACCAATAGAGTCCTACCACCTTTAAGGAAGAGGGAGATGTGTGCCCTGCTAGGCAGCAGCACCTAAGGTATTCATGACGAGTCTCAGCAGAGACACTGAGAATGAGTGTTCAGAAAAGTGGAATGAAAGTCAAGAGGAGACAGGGTGGAAATAAAGTTAAAGGAAGAGAGTTTTTTTATGAGTGTAATAGATGTAAATCATCAATGTAAATTCCCAATAAGGAACAAAGACATTACCACTGATAAATATGTAGCTTAACCAGCTGATCTCTCATTACCCTTTCCTCCTTTCATAGCACTGCATTGGTGGAGGAGGTTACTTCCCAGAGGGCAATCCTGTGCAATGTGGAGACTTCTCTGCCTTTGACTGGAATGGATATGGAACTCATATTGGATGGAGCAGTAGCCGAGAGATAACTGAGGCAGCTGTGCTTTTGTTCTATCGCTGATACCATCTTGCTAAAGGATCTAGCTTTCTTCTCCCAACTTCTAGGTCCCAGTGATGGATGCTAACTTGCCTAGTGTCTAGAACGCCAGTGGCTGGGGAAAGGGAAATAAATCATTGTGCTTGAAGGCTTGGTGTTTCTGTGAATTCTTTCGTGCAATGGTGAAGAACTGTAGGAGTTTTCAAAGGAGTGCATGTTGTGGGTGTTTCTGTGTCAACCCCTTTAGTGCTTGGAACGTTACAGTTTAGCAATTCTGATAGAGGAAGATGTTACCCCACAAGACCCTTCTAGGTAGTCCCTTAAAATAGCCAGAGGAACAAA